GTTTTCCATAACACTACATAATATTTTTTTAATTTTTTCTTCTTTTCTTATATAACATTTCATATGATCATAGAGGTATGTTAAATATTTTTTATTACGTGTCTATATATAACGGTCAATTATTATCACATGACTTTAAAAGCTTATAACTCCTTATTAAAAAAGAAAAAGTAAAAAGCAAACTATAGAATTAAAGCTAAAGACCTAAGCTTCATTTCCGTCGGTTTACCTTTTCATCTTATTGGAAAAAGTTTTGAGTTATAAGGTTTCAAAGTTATGCCATTTTATATGTCTATAAATATAAGTTGTAAAATTTCGGAATGATCTTCCCTTGTGATTTCCTAAAAAGCCTATGATCGGCTTAAATTTTTTAAATAAAAGATCTTCTAAATTTTAATTTCAGTCTGACATTTGAACCATACTATATAAATATTATTAATATAATAATTCCACCTATAAAAGATCCACCATCTATGTGTGTTATTTTCTAATAACTCTTTTTTTCATCAATTAAAAAGAAAGAATACTTAATCTTTTTCTAAAGAACAAATAATTAAATTAATTCTTTATTTTATTTCCCATTACTGTTACTACACATCAATATTTAAAAAAATTTCTTGATCTTTATCCTTTGTTTAATCTTTATTTTTTTTTGATTTCACCTATAAATTTCTCCATTTGCATTTTGTCATTAGCATATAACTCTTTGTTAAGAAAGAATTAGCAACCATTTATTTTAATTCTTTATAAGTAAAAATAGCTTATTTAATCCTTTATTCTCCATTATTAATATTATGTGCATTTGTAAAAAAGATGATAAATAGATATATGTTTGAACGTAACACAAATTTATTTTAGCAAATCAGTCACGTGAAAGTCACAGACGTGCATTTAGAGAGGTTGGTTTTATATAAATGGGGATGGAGGAAGACCGTGCAGTGTATTTATGGAGGGATGCATTTATCTCTTAAGTCCCAAGGTTGGAAATGAGACATAGCATGCATTTATAGAGGGAAAGTTCACTGTAATAATAATAATGGTACATGAGAAATTTTTAACTTTAAACCTTCACAAAACACACATTAATCTTACAACAACTAAACTAGTAAATAATAATAACAATGTCACAAAAAAGAGCTTACTATTGCTACTTTATATTCTTCTTTGTCTCAACTTTCACTTATTAAGGGTAGAGTTCGGTTACACAATATATCATATGGCAAAAAAATCACACGACCACAATTTTTAAGGTTTGAACAAATAAAACTTTTTTGTAAAATTGCGAAACTTAAATGAAACTTTGTATATATACTCTCTGGGATTAAAACTATTGAACAATGTGCTTTTAATAACATTTGTTAATAAAGCTTTACTAAAAAGGTAATCTGAAGTTCAACATATGTTACGAATTCTTGTCCTCTACTATATGTTTTTGTTAAAGTAAGGAAAACTAAATGAACAGTCTTCAAATTAACCTTAATAGCTATTGATTTATAAAAAAAAATTAGAATTTTATAAGAAGACAAGGTTGTTACTAATAATATTTCATTTTTATATTATATATATATATATATATGTATGTATGTATGTATGTATGTATGTATGTATGTATGGATGTATGTATAGTAATAAATAGAAACGAGACTACCTTGGCATGAATCATTACTAGCTTTTAACACCAATTACAAATTCTTTACATGAGAAAACAATTTAATAAGAAACGTTTTTTTGGAATGGTGATACATTCAAGTAGTTATTCTCCATTATTTTACATTTTGTAATGTATTATTAATTTTTTAATTCACAATTTATCCAACAATAAAATTAGATCGGTAATTTATGGTTGAAGGTTGAGAATGCCACCACTCACTTGTTGGCTTTCATTCATTAATTCATTCGCCTAAGCTCAAGATCCTGTAAAAAAGCTTGGACATATCAAATATTTATATGTGATTTGTAAAACGTAAAAATAAGAGAAGTATTACTATTACTTTATTATTAATTTGTCAATTGTATATAAAATTACTTATTAATTATTCTGAAATAGTAAAATATAGATCATGGAAAAAGTAAAAATATCATTAAACTTGGACAACTACAATGCTTGGCTGTTTCTGCTAAAGGGTATAAATATAAATAATTATCAACAGATCAATGTAATATATCTATTATATCTGTTTTCTAATGACAAATTGTAATAACAAATGGTCACATATCTGAATAAATTATATTTGTTGCTATATTAAATGTATTAAAAGTGTTGAATGTTAATCATGGTTGTGCCATATTTTTGTTTCAATGATCGACACATTTTGCCATACATTTCTATCTGACATACTGTGTAACCGAACTCTACCCTTAATAGACAGTTCAAAAAAAGATCAACAATTTATATGTGAAGAGCATTGTAAAATCGAAAAAGTACCACTTAGAAAAGTGGCATTGCACAGACTATATAAAACCACCTCAAAATTTGTTCTTTCTTGAGCAGAATTGGATTTTTATTTTTATTAATAACAAAGTTGCTCTAAATTTGTCATTTGTGATGATCTATATTTTAACTTGATGTGCGCATAACATAAAAATAAAACTAATATATAGATAATTCAAGCAATAGTAAATAAATAACATTTCTAACTATCATTTATCATTAATACTGTAATAAAATGAATAAAGGTGTAAGCCAAAAAAATTTTGGTCCTTATATAGTATGTGGTAATCAAGATATATATAAACTCCATATTATATGTTGTTAAGTATATAAATATAATTGGATTTTGGTGAAATAAGCTGTGAAATCAATCCCCTTGTCAATCTAATCAGTCTGACAAAAGAAAGAAATTTTTTAGAAGAAATTTCCTTTGAATTTAGACAAGTAATAAAAATAAACAAATTATTATTTCAAAATTAATAAAAAATTGAAATGTTGCATGCATGATTTTCATTGGTTAATTTCACTTGACCAATGATCGGATTTTTATCTATGCAGTGAACATTGGTATTACAGTGCAGATCATCTATAATCATTAATTGCTTATAGTGACAATTGGCCAACTTCAAAATACTAAAATTATATTATCTTAAAAAATTTAACCAATAAGTTTTATTGTTCATGACTCAAGCTTCAAAACTCATCAGCTGGTTTTTTCTTAAACTGAAAATTGGCAGAGCCTTAGCATTTTGAAAATTCCAAATTTTGTTATACACTTAAGAAATTGAGACTAAGTAAATTTCGTGTAACAACTTTTTTTATAGAATATTTTCTACAACATACATTTTAATGATGGTGGCCGAAATTATTTTAGAAAATCCGAAATAGTTTCGCCCACAGACATTGGGAGTTTAGGCTCCTAA